CCTTTGTTCCCTGGCTGGGCTGCTACCTTTCCTGGAAACCAGCCAGATGCTTACCTCACCTTCTAAGGTCACCGAAGGCTGCAGGCGTCTGCCTCTAGTTCATCTTGTGCTTTCAGAGAAGAGCCAGGGCTGGGTGTCTTGTGTAGGAAACAGGGCTTGAACTACAAAGAGAAATAATTCTTACAGCAATGATATTGATGATGAGGAACTGACAGCAAAGGAGCCACTTTTCAGGCCAGAGTAGTTTGTCATAAAATATTTAAAGCGGCTTGACAAACAGCCCCACAATTCTCCCATGAATGCAGGCCGCTGGATTAATCTTGAAAGTAAGGAATATTTTATTCCATGTTTAGCACAGGCAAAGGAAGTGACCTTCTCTGAGAAGTACCCCAAAGGAGTGCTGAGGGCAGCTCCAGGAGCCCAGTACATTCACTCTGTGGTGTGTTCCATTTGCCCTCAAACTTCAAAGGAATGCTAAAATAGAATAACAGATTATAGTAATGTATGAGTACTCAGTAAACAATAAACTACAGGACTTAGAACAGTCCCGGCTGATGGAGAGACAGGAAACAGACTGTAAACATGTTGCTCTTTTGTTTTCGCCATTTCAGTGGTCTTGTTCTAGGCTCGAGTGTCCTCACATGCCTGTCCACTGCTGTTTATGCCCCAGAGCTGCTACTACTCATCGCTCAGTGGTCACAGCCATGGAGGAGAAAAGTCATTCAGTTCATTGCTCATGTATTCAGGAGGTATCTCCGGATGACCTATTGTGTGCACAGCATGGTCTATTACACAAAGGCTCAACATACTGCCCCCTTCCCCGCCCCATCTAAAAAGCTTTTAATGACAAGGAAGAGAAAACTGTCTCCACACGCAGTGTTACCATTAAAACAGGGGAACTGAGATCTGCAGAAAGGGAGTAACACAAAGTGGGACATCCCATGGAAGAGCTGCGTGGGGAATGAGAAGGTCTTCTGGACAAAGTGCGTTCTGCGAACTTTCACCACAGCTCTGCTGGACAACAGGGAGGGTCTGGACAGGGACCAATGTTGACAGCTCCAAGGTACACAGGGCACAAAGAGAAAAGGTCACAGCTGAGAGGGAGACACCAGGAAATGGGATTTGAAAGGGGAAGCCGAAGGTTTTGAAGGTAGGGGCCTGAACAGCTTCCCAGGCTTGGCATCCTCCCCGCTGCTGCAGGGCAGGTTGCTTCCTGAATTTCTAATCTTTTAATGAACTTTATACTAAAGTTACAGCTAGAGGCTGGTAAAGTGGCTCAGTGGGTAAGGTCTTTTGTCCCCAAGCCCAAGGACTTGGATCTGAGTTCAGTTATTAGATTCACATGGTAGAAAAAAAAATTGACTTCTGCAAGTTGTCCTTATGTGCAAGCATGTATGTGGATACACACACACACACAAACACATACATAAACACATACATACACATATAAACATGTGCATACATACATATAGACATAACACATACAGGCATACACACCAAATAAATAAATAAATAGTGGGTGAGTGCTAAGTTAAAGCAAAAATGGCAATTTAAATTCTATGTCAGACCACATTATTGACAAAGACTCCCTTTTCTATAGATCTTTTATCATTTGGAGGAAGATGCAGTATCTAAGACAATTGTACCAGATTACATTAGATTTGAACAAATCTCAGATCTTCTTAGCAACAATATTCTCATTTCATTGGCAACCAGGATCCTGTAATGCCATTCAGAAGTGAATAAAATTCATGAAGGAAGGGTTTATTGTTTCACCAGGGGAAACAGGTCAGAAGGCTGACAGTGGTTCCTTAGCACTTTGTTCGGGCTAATGCTTGTTAATTTATGGTATGAAACATCTGGTAGGGAGCGCCCAGCCCCTTGACCTTTGAACTGGAGAAAGTGGATCTTGATCATAAGCAGCTATGCCTGCTGAGTTTTCCCTGCTGATTGATTATCTTTCAGCAGGCCCAATGAGCCATCAACTTTCAGATGTGAGTCCAGAAACTAGTACTCCAGTTTTATTCTTCAAAATAACAGGCTGCAGGTTTGCCATTCACCTCCTCCCGCAAGCTGGGTCTCACTTAAGAATCTCTGTCTTCTGCTTTTGTGCTGGACTGGTTACCTGCTGGTGTACCTGGTGCCTTCACAGTGTGATCCTGTCCATCCCTATCTCTATTTGGAGTAATAAAAATAATCATTGGGGCATGCTTTGCTTTTAAAAAATATTTCTTTATGTTATGATTTTACCTATATGTTTTGCCTGCATGTTTGCATGTGTGCCACATGGGTTCCTGGTACCCACAGAGGTCAGAGAGGGTTGTTGGATCACCTGGAACTGGAGTTAAAGATGTTTGTGAGCCACCATGTGGCTGCTAGGGCCTGGACCCAGGTCCTCTTCAAGAGCAACAGGTGCTCTTAATGCTGAGCCATCTCTCCAGCCCACACAAGTTGCTTTTGTTGCTAAAGTTCTGTGAAAGCAAATATTATAATCTGCACAAATAGAACCATTCTGTGAGGTTTACCATAAAAAAAAAGAAGTCCATCACCTACTGCTCAATTTGGGACACGGCTAATGATAATAATAATAATAATAATAATAATAATAATAATAATAATAATAATACAATCTTGGGCCATAAATGAGACATTTTCCCAGTAAATAAGTCAGTAGTAGTTGGTTATCTCCTGGAGAGAAAGCAGACATTGTTCACACAATTGGTTCCATCTTTCAGGCCAACAGCTTCCAACCTCTTCTGGAATACGTGGCACAATGTGGCTTTACACCTTGGGACTCCTAACAGTACCCCATCTTGTCAGTGGTAGAAGTGGGGAGGTGGGGTGAATCTGAGGCATTTTCTGACATCCTAGTTGATCGGTGACAGAACCAAGTTTGAACTCTGATGCTGGCTTCCCTCAAAGCCCATGTAGCAACAATCCTGTCCAGTGGCATAAGCGTGTCATATAAAGATCCGGACGGCTTTGCGAATTACTAGTCCAATGACTACATGTCATATCAGGTCTTGAACTCTGGGTGTCCAAGAAGTTCGGCCCTCATAGACGTCAAGAGCATGCCGGGCAAGCAGATGTCCCCATGGGGCTTCAGATGAGGTCACAACAAGCGTGCACTGCCCACCAAAAGTGGGAGAAGATGGGGAGATGCGGCAGTAGCTGGCGCTGGTTGTCCCAGGCAGATCTGTCTTAGGAGCCCTGTGAAAGGGGACCAGGCAGACACAGCTCAGTGTGGCTGGAGAGGCCCACAGGCCTGGGCTCTTCCACAAGCCTGGTTTTTTCTTTTGTTTTATTTTAACCAACCAACCAACCAACCAACCAACCAACCAACCAGCCAACCAATGGGTGGGGGCTCTTGTTGATCAGTCACACTGGAATGGCATCCTGGAGGGAGATTTTAAAATATACTTTAAATCAAGTAGAAAATGAGACACGAGAGCATATTGTGATCGTTTAACATTTATTATTCACTGTACATGAGGTCCTCTGCGGATGCGGAGGTCCCCAGGGCCTGCTTGCTGTTCCCAAGTCACTCCTGATAATTTTTAAATGGACTATGTCCTTTTAGCCATGTTTTTCCAAATTCGTGCTGCTCCCAGCGCGAACACTTTCCGTTTTGCTCTGTAATGAGGATACTTTCATTCCTTTAATGTTTGCTATTTTCCTTTGATCTAACAATTTCTGTTCAAATTTCACAGTTTTCTTTAGCTTTAGGATTGAAAGAACCGATTACCCTGCTGGGAGCGTGAAACGGATTAAAATATATATATATATATATATATATATATATATATATATATATATATA